GGTGGGATATCGCATCGACTCAGAGAGGGTGCCTTGTCAGTTCAGATGTGTGGATCAGCCAGGCTAGGAAGAGAAGGAAAACACCGCGTTAGGAGGTTCCACGATGCCAGCAATGCATTCTATTGCATACACAAATCGCGTGCAGAGGAAGCAGCAGATGAGTTAGCACAGGAATCGCGAGTGGACCTCTTCTATCAAATGATACATAACAGCGCTTTTACGATTGATGACGGAGTTCGCAGTGGACATATGACCAATCAGAGTGGTGTATGACCAGGCGACAGCGCGGCAACGAAACTCTTCGTCAAGGCCTACGGCAGCGGCGTGCATATGATGATTGACGAGCTGGACACGGACCCATAACAACGGGCACTCAACACTCGGCTGCCCCTCCCACTGCGTGCTGAACATGATCGCTCGGTCACCGACCTGCCTACGTCTGTTCTTGTGGGTGGTATCGCCCGCATGCTCGTGGGCGCGACTGTGCAGCACTTGGCCGCAGTTGTGGATTGGGAAAACAGAGTAGTTGATCATGTCATGCAGGAAGTTGGAGGTGCACAGAACGTCGACAAACATATGAATCTCATTCAAGGCGCAGGCAGAACGGCAGGTGCTCTGAACAGATCTTCCCATGAACGCAAGCAACACATGGATTGGCAGGTTGTAGCAGAAGCAAGGTATCTTGGAGGACGGCAACACTTTAACGCTGGGTTCTCAGCGGAGAAGAAATTTAGGATGCAGGATATCAGGACAGCGCGGCACAAGATGGGCAAGTATTGGTCCACCCCCAAGATCTCCATGAGGTTCAAGGGTATCGTTTTTTTTCGGGCCTCATCATCAATGCGGCACTCTCGGGCCTCGAGGCGTCTGTTTTCAACGTGCGCTCCCCCTTGCGGTTCAGCCGCTCGCCCCCTTGCAGCACATCGTCTAAGTCCGCGCGGGTCATGCTCCGCGGGAAACACACTCGCAGGCAGCTGGACAATATCAGGGCCCCCTCCAACCTAGAGGTTCAGGGGCACTTGAAGTTTGGGACGCTCTTCGCAGAGCTACGGACTCAGAGGCTTAAGTGGTTTCAGGAGATAGTGACACACCAGAAGGCGCACCAACAAGTGATCGCGGCCCTTGTAGGGCGAGCCCATTGCGAGAAAAAAACACACGACGTAGATGAGCTAGGTAGAGTTTTGCCCACAGCTAACGCGTGGCTCCAGCAGTTTTGGGAAGATGTCAAGGCCCTCGAGGGGACCTCGGAAGGCCCAGAGCTTGTAATTTTCCTCGGCGGCAGTTTTTTGAAGTTGCGGGGCTGCGATCTGCGAAACTGTCGGCACTTTCGTGGGGTCCCGGGAGGCCCAGCGGAGGTACGTCATACGCAGATCATCACTATAGCTTGCGGTGCCCTGGGGGGCTGCGATCTGCGCAACTGTCGGCACTTTCGTGGGCTCCTGGGAGGCCCAGCGGAGGTACGTCATACGCAGATCACCACTATAGCTCGCGGTGCCCTGGGTGTCTGCGACCTGCGAAACTGTCGGCATTTTCGTGGGCTCGTGGGAGGCCCAGCGGAGGTACGTCATACGCAGATCACCACTATAGCTCGCGGTGCCGTGGTCGGGTGCGATCTGCGAAGCTGTCGGCATTTTCGTGGGGTCCCGGGAGGCCCAGCGGAGGTACGTCATACGCAGATCACCACTGTAGCTCGCGGTGCCCTGGGGGCTTCCGATCTGCGAAACTGTCGGCACTTTCGTGGGCTCGTGGGAGGCCCAGCGGAGGTACGTCATACGCAGATCACCACTATAGCTCGCGGTGCCCTGGGTGGCTGCGATCTGCGCAACCGTCGGCACTTTCGTGGGGTCCCGGGAGGCCCAGCGGAGGTACGTCATACGCAGATCACCACTGTAGCTCGCGGTGCCCTGGTGGCTTGCGATCTGCGAAACTGTCGGCACTTTCGTGGGGTCCCTGGAGGCCCAGCGGAGGTACGCCATGAGCAGATCACCACTGTAGCTCGCGGTGCCCTGGGGGCTTGCGATCTGCGAAACTGTCGGCACTTTCGTGGGGTCCTGGGAGGCCCAGCGGAGGTACGTCATACGCAGAGCACCACTATAGCTCGTGGGGTCCTGGGAGTCCCAGCGGAGGTACGTCATACGCAGATCACCACCATAGCTCGCAGTGCCCTGGGGGCTTGCGATCTGCGAAACTGTCGGCACTTTCGTGGGCTCCTGGGAGGCCCAGCGGAGGTACGCCATGAGCAGATCACCACTGTAGCTCGCGGTGCCCTGGGTGGCTGCGACCTGCGAAACTGTCGGCACTTTCGTGGGCTCGTGGGAGGCCCAGCGGAGGTACGTCATGCTCGGACCACCACTACAGCTCGCGGTGCCCTGGGGGGCTGCGATCTGCGAAGCTGTCGGCTCTTTCATGGGCTCCTGGGAGGCCCAGTGGAGGTACGTGATACGCAGATCACCACAAGCGCCCCTTGTGTGTGTCTGTTTTATATTTTCGCCGCTGCTCTTCTTGCTGCGCTCGTCTGAAATCACTGCTGGGTGCTCTTCTTGCGCACTGCGAGTCCTTCAGAATGCCAGTCAGCATTGAGTGGTCCTGAATAGACTCGCCACATGTATAGAAATGGTTGGGTACGTCGCAGGGTAATTTTCCTCTTCATCCTCCTCTTCCTCCTCCTCGTCCTCCTCTTCTTCTCGATCGAGGTAGAAGTTACATGCCTCAAGAGGGGCTTCTTTTGAGCTTCTAGGGGGCCTCTTGGGGGGCCTCTTGGGGGCCTCTAGGGGCCTCTTGGGCGGGCCTCCCCCCTGGGGCCGTTTCGGGGCGGAAAGCTCGGATTGTTGCCTCTTGGGCTCCTATTTGGGCCGTCTTGGGGCACTCTCAGGCAGTCTTGGGAGCCTCTTGGGCCGTCTTGGCGCCCTCTTGGGCCGTTTCAAGCGCCTCTTGGGAGCCTCTTGGGCCGTTTTGGAGCGGTCTTGGGGGACTCTGGGGCTGTCTTCAACGCCGTGAAGGCCGAAAAGTCGTGCATCACGTTTTTCATAGGAATTCGTCGATTTGGGCCTCTTGGGCCCCTCTTGGGAATGCTCTTGGAGGCTTCCTGGGCCATCTGGGAGACTTCTGGGGCCGTCTTGGGGCCATCCTGGGCGTCTTGGGCCAACCTTTTGGCGTCTCGAGGGCCTCTTGGGCCGTCGTGGGAGCTGCTTGGAGCCCTCTGGGGCCTCGTGTGGCCTGATGGCACCTTTGCCTCCCCCCTCCTCCCAAGCCGGCCAGACCGGGCTCCCGGGAGAGGGGTTTGGGGAGGGGGAAGTATCTCACACGCCGTGACTCCAAGGGGTCGGCGGATTCTTAATTTTTCATCCGGCATCACCCTGTTGGAGAACATGCCCGATCTAAAGTTTGGGCGTCTCTGTGGGGGTCCAGGGGCGGGCTCTATAGAGGGTCCAAAGGGGAGGCCGCTTGCCGGAGGAGGCGGCGGCCTCCTCGGTGGTGACCCCCTTTTGGTATGGCCCAGGATGCACTGTGCGACTGCCGCGGGGTGTGCCAGAAGGGGCCTCGCCTTCGAGGATTGAAGTTAAGTCGGGCATGTCCCTCAACAGGAGGAACATTCAAGAGTTGTAAACCAATAGTCAGGGGAGGATGTTTCGACGATTGTTATGTTATTGTTGTGTTTTGTTTGTATGTGCTGTTGCTGTTTGTGTTATTGTTGTTGTTGCTGCTGCTATTTTTATTATTTTTCCAAAATCCGCTTGTAGGAGGACATGCCCGACTTAATATTGAAGGAGTTGGCGTCTCTTCCTCGGCGGAGGGTGGCGGAAGGCAGCGGAGGCAAAACGAGAGCGCCTCCGCTGGCGGAGGCCGGCAAAAGCAAAAGATGCGTCCCCCAAAAAGGATAGTATTTTGGGGTTCCTGGTTTTTGGAACCCACCATGATCTGGGCCTCCTAGATGGGGCCGGAGTAAATCAGGTCAGAGGATCTCGCCGCATCGCCGATGCATCGCCGATGCGGCTCGATGCGGAGCCCGATTTGCCGCACGCCGACGGCGCCGATGCCTCGCCGCCGACGCCGCCGATGCATCGGTGATGCATCGCCAGTGCATCGCCGCTGGGGCGCGATCCTCCGACCCCATCTACTCCGACCCCATCTCCCTCCTCCCCCCCCCCTCCTCCTCCTTCTCCTCCTCCTCCTCCTCCTCCTCCTCCTCCTCCACCTCGTCCTCCTCCTCCTCCTCCTCCTCCTCATCACTACTGCTCCTAGGAGGCCTCTGCATGAGTCTCCCTCGCGGCGACCGGCCCGGGCGCTCGCCGGGCCTGCGGACAAGAGAGTCTCCCCCCTCACAGCTTCCCGCCGGTATCGCTGTCGGCACGCCGACCCTCGGGCTCTCGAGCCTTGGAGCCTCGCGCAGAGCCAGTCTTCCAGTGGGGTCCCATGCCAAGAAGCACCCTGCTCCCTCTCCTCCTCCTCCTCCTCCTCCTCCTCCTCCTCCTCCTCCTCCTCCCCTCCTCCTCCCCCTTCCTCCTCCTCCTCCCCTCCTCCTCCTCCTCCTCCTCCTCCTCCTCCTCCTCCGCCTCCGCCTCCTCCTCCTCTTGTTCTTCCCCTCCTCCTCCTCCCCTCCTCCTCCTCCTCCTCGTCCTCCTCCTCCTCCTCCTCGACCTCCTCCTCCTCCTCCTCCTCCTCCTCCTCCTCTCCTCCTCCTCCTCCTCCTCCTCCTCCTCCTCCTCCTCCTCCCCTCCTCCTCCTCCTCCTCCTCCTCCTCCTCCTCCTCCTCCTCCTCCTCCTCCTCCTCCTCCAGGGGGGGCCCTCTCCCGCCTGGGCGGGTGTACAGCGGGGGCCCATGCCAAGAAACATCCTGCTTTCCTCCAGGCTGCCATGTGTTTCTTCTTGGGTTTCCAGTCGTCGTCGTCGTCGTCGTCGCCGCCGCCGCCGCCGCCGTCGTCGTCGTCGTCGTCGTCGTCGTCGTCGTCGTCGTCGTCGTCGTCGTCGTCGTTGTCCCGCCGACCAGTGGGCGGGGCCCAGGGATCCAAGACGTGGCGGCTCGGCGCTTTCCCGAACATCACTAACGCGTTCCAGCCCTTCTCGTTTGGGGACGCCGAGATCCCGAGAGGCTGTCGCAGCGTTTCGCTCCGCCCGACCCCTCCTGTGACGAACTAGTGTCGATCCTGACGAGATCCCGAGAGGCTGTCGCAGCGTTTCGCTCCGCCCGACCCCTCCTGTGACGAACTAGTGTCGATCCTGAGCTTCGGGAGGTGGGGGGGCGAGAAGGAACAGGCAGAAGAGGACGAGGATGAATAGGAAGAAGGTTAGGAGGAGGAGGAGGAGGAGGAGGAGGAGGAAGAGAAGGAGGATAAGGAGGACGAGACGAGACGAGACGAGACGAGGAGAGACGAGGAGGACGAGGACGGGAAGCAGGAGAACAAAGGGGAGAATGAGGAGGAGGAGGAGCAGCAGCAGCAGCAGCAGCAGCAGGGGGAGGAGGAGCGGCAACGCCCGACGCACCTTGGGGGGGGCCGCTCCGAGACTCTGCGGAGGGGAGGAGGAGGATGAGGAGGAGGAGGAGGGCGCGGTCATCGCCTGTCGGGACCCCGTCGCCACGCGCAGAGGGGGAAGGCTTCTGAGAAGCACCCCTGCTTCTTAGAAGAGGCGGGCCCTGTCTGCAGATGCAGAGCTGGCGCCTTCCAAACGGCAACCTCCTTCCGAAAAGTCTTTCCCTGTGCGCGCCGCCGAGAGGAGGTGCCGTGCCAAGTATGCCTTGCACCCTCGCCTTGGTTGCGGCCTTGGCCAGCCAACGTTGTTGGGCAGCTGCTGCAACTTGGACGCCCAAGGGCCCTGTAACCTCATCTTCCACCTGTGCAGTAGGCACATCAGGTAAGAAATCGGCCTGCCGGTAGGTACCCCACGGACATGTCTTATCCCCCGATGGCCCCAGGGAAAGCCGCCGACCGTTCGAGGCTTCCACGCCGTGTCGGAAACCAAGGCTGGGGTCGTCACGACACGAACCTACCGTAAGAGGAGGAAGCAGGGGAGCACGGACGACCCGGACCTCTTTGGACAGTCCTCCATTGGGCGTCGCGTGATGGGGGGGCGATAAATGGGGGGGGCAGCGAGGGCTGAAGAAGAGGGGCCCTTTAAGGCCTCTTGGGGGGCGCCTTGGGGGGGCCCTTGGGCCCAAAAAAGGGATCCTCTAGGGTCCGAGAAGTGCACTTTTCTTCTTCTTCTTCTTCGTCTTCTTCTTCGTCTTCTTCTTCTTCTTCTTCTTCTTCTTCTTCCCCCCTTTTATCGCCCCCTGCTGAAGCGACTCCCAGCTCCAGAGGGAGGTCTTTGAGCTTCTTGGGCCTCCGTGGACAGCTCCAGCACGGACAATCCTCCAGGAGGTAGGTCGTCGATCTTCTTGGAGGATCGAAGGCCTTTTCTATGGAGGTCGAGCCTCCGTGTGCTGGAGGAGGGAGGAGACTGGCATCCCGAGCGGAGGGCAGGGCCTGCATCGTGCAGGCGTGTGGTCCTCCGGGGGGGAGGGGAGAAGGGCGGGGGTTATGATGTTCCAACCTACTCTAGCCTTGATCACCATAAAGAATTTCGAGCACCAGGAAGCTATCGAAACTGGAGGGTTTTCCTGTGTCGGGCCCTGGGAGGCGACACTCGTTCGACACTGTTTCAACACTTTTCTGGGTGCTCGAAATCATGTCTGGGATGTGGTCCTCAAGTGCGCTCCCCCAAAGACACAGAGCACTTCTCAGAAGGCGCGAGGGCTTTTGATAAATCCCGCCGCCTCTCCTTCTCATTTCCCCTCCTTTCTCGCCGCCGCATCTGGGGGGGAGAAGGGCGGCGTGGGGCGAACACGGTCGAGGAGCCTTCCTACCACGTGCGAACTTTACCCCTGCAGGTGTCGGAAATACTTCGGCAACCCTCGCGCGCTGGACGTGGTTCGAGCCTCCCCCCCTTCCCCCCGAATGCGAGGCTGGTCTTGGATTTTCCGAGTTTGAGTGTCCGAACGGTAGTGCGTAAACGTGCCAACTTTGAATTACGGGGGGGGGGCAGTGTTTTTATATTTGTTCCCCTCAACCGTAAGGGTCCAATCGACGCTGTGATACCCAGTGGGGGGGGGGGGCCGAACACGGACGTGGAGACTGCAGTATGTCAATTTTGGATGTACCGGCTTATCCTCGATCTGATGCCCAGGACACCAGACACCCCCGCTGAGGTCACTTGGCTGCAGACATCTTTAAACTCTGAATCCCGGCCGATCTTTCACAAGCCTGACCTGCATGAGCACTGTTTACCCGACCCCTGTCCCCATCTCCTCCATCCCCCATCCGGACCCCCACCATCTCAGCACCCCAGTTGGGGATATACACCTCGAAACCCAAAGGAAACAGCCTATATACCCATCTTGGGGGGGCAAATCGGCCAGTGGGGCCCAGGCCATGCCCATGGGACAGGGGTGGGTTAAAAGATGTTCACTGCAGGGGCAGGGTTCACATGTGATTGCCTCGAGGAGGGGAGAAGATGATCGTTTTCTTATTCGTTTCCCCCCATGGAGTAGATCTTGGCTGTTTTGGGCGCCTGTTTCGAGCAGGTGGAGCCTCCCCCATAGGACGCACTGCTGCAAACAGTCGCACTGAGCAGAGGTCCGGAGCCAGACCCCCCCCTCCCCCCCGCCTTTCGCTCAATGTCGAAACGCCGAATAAGAGAACGTTCACCAGGGAGGGGGTCCAGGGGCAGTTTTTGAGCGGGTCTCGGCCGCCACTGCCGCCATCGTCGTCATCGTCGCCGGTCGCCGTTCATCATCGTCGCCCCGCTCGTCCCTCGCCGTCAACCCGCGTAGTAAGGACGCACGATAAGGATGCAAGGACTTGTGCTTGCCTCGAGGAGGGGAGAAAGCGCCTCCGACTGCGGGGGGCCGGACGGATCTACAAGCACCCGCATTTCTGGCGGCCAGAGCACGAGGACCGCCGGCCCCTTCGGCCGGGGAAGTCCTCCTCCTCCTCCTCCTCCTCCTCCTCCTCCTCCTCCTCCTCCGCCTCCTATTCCTCCTCTTCCTCCTTTTCCTCCTCCTCCTCCTCCTCCTCCCCTCCTCCTCTTCCTCCCCCTTCTCCCCCTCCTCCCACCTCTCCTCCGTCTCCTCCTCCTCCTCCTCCTCCTCCGCCTCCTCCTCCTCCTCCTCCTCCTCCTCCTCCTCCTCCTCCGCCTCCGCCTCCTTCCTCCTCCTCCTCCTCCTCCTCCTCCTCCTCCTCCTCATCCTCCTCCTCCTCCTCCTCCCCTGTGCCTCCGCGGGCCCTGGCGCGGCCAGCAGCTGTGAGTGCAGTTCTGGCGCGTCTCCGGCGCACCAGAGCGAGTGCGGAGCGTTACGCGCCTGGAGGTCCGAGGTGGCCAGGCACCGGCTCCGGCCAGCAGGAACAGCGCCGACTCAGGGTCGGTTGGCGTCGACCAGCGCGTCGCTCTAGCGTCGATTTAGCACCGACCAGCGTCGATTCGCAAGAGCCGACAAGATGGTATGGGATCGGCGTCACCCCAACATACGTATACTATATTTGCGTCGCCCCCATCAGAGGCGACGCGCGCACCGAGAAATCTTATAGTATATGCGTCGTGGCGGGCGCTTTCTGGCCACACCGCTCGGGAAACGATATACTACAAGATGGGTATACTATATGTTCGGGTCGGACGCGCGCCTCCAAGGAGGACATGTAGTATTAGTATGTCTCTGTGCGTCCTATGGGAGGTTCCCACGGGTTGCCACCCGAGGTGGCCAAGCACCGGTTCCCGCCAGCATGACGGGAAAAGCTGGCTGCGGGGCGCTGAGCTCGGGCAGCTGTCGCCCACGTTTTTAACGAGCGCGCTCCATCACTCGCAGAGCGTCTGCTCGCAAACGTCCGAACAGCAGATGTTCGCCTCGACGTAATAAATCGTAGATTCCCCGTTGCGGATCGAATCCAGGCCATTTGCGAGTAGTTACTTTGCGAGTGGTGGAGCGCGCTCGGCTACTTTTGTGCCTCCAGGGCCTGCCTTTTCGAGCCCCAGGACCGTCAACAACGGATTCATGTCGAACACCTGCACCAGATGGACCCCAGGACCGATCTTCCTCGACCCTCGATCGTCCTCGACCTTCGATCCTCCTCGACCCTCCCCGATCCTCCACGATCCTCCACGACCCTCGATCCTCCTCGACCCTCGATCGTCCTCGACCCTCGATCGTTCTCGACCCTCGATTTTGATTGGATTTGGCTCCATCCATCCCCCTGACCGTCAACCAGATTTTTTGAGGTCCCAACTGATTCAGAACCCCCAGCCGCCTCCACTTTGAGGGCCATCCATGTCAGGCAGTGGCCAGAAGTCAGGCTGGCTTAAACAAGTGGGAGGAGTAAGATCGAATAGCATAAAATCACGTAACCAAAAACATTCGGAGTTCCGCGCGGATTTCTTTTATTCGGCGCTGGGCCCCCTGGCGGCGCCTCTGCCGCCACCCCCGGCGCACTCTACTGCAGCGCGGATCCAAGAAATCTGCTTGGACCTCCGGAAGTTTCTATTTATAGCGTTTTTGGTTCCTCACTCGAAGACGCCTACGGCGAATCACCGCCGCCCCCCGCCTTCTAGTATCGCCCATGTGGCCGAGCGTTATAGCAAGAGCTCTGCCAAGCTATCGGACCATGTGTTCCCCCAGCCGTTGTGGAAAGCCATCGGGAATCATTTAGGGGAGGATGGCGGGGAAGATCAGGAGGAGGAGGAGGAGGAAAAAGGGGGGGGCATCTTGCGAGCCTCAGGGGCCACTCTCGGGGCCTCCTGGGAGCTTTCTGGGAGCCTCTTGGAGGCATCTTTTTGGCCTCCTTGGGCCTCTTGGGGTCCTTGGGGGACTTCTCCGGGGCCTTTTTGGCCGTCTTAGGGTATTTCTGGCCCGTCTGACGCCGTCGGAAGCCGTCTTGGGGGCCTCTTTGGGCCGACTTGGTGTCTTCTTGGGGTGCTCCAGGGCCGTCTTGGAGGTTATTTTGGCCGTCTTGGTGGCCTCTTGGGCCGTCTTGGGGGCCTCTTGGGCCGTTCTGGGACCATTTGGGAGACCTCCTGGGCGATCTTGGGGCGATCTTTTGGGACTCTTGGGCCGTCTCGGGCCGTTGGAAGACCACCATGAAGCAACTGCCACAATCCTTCAACAACCTGAACAATCCATGAGTTTAGCCTCTTGGGCCGTCTTCGGTCATCCTGAGGCCATCTTGGGCCCTGTTGGAGACTTGTTGAGTGTATTTGGAGGCATCTTGGACCTTCTTGTGCCGTCTTGGAGGCCACCCTGGACAATCTTGGGCGAACTTGGAGGCCATCTTGGCCGTCTTGGAGGCCATCGAGGCCGTCTAGGAGACGTTGGTGGTGGCACAGCGGGCGGGCCGTTCCGGGTGGCCAGCGCGCTGGGCCAGAGCCCCCAGGAGGGGAAGCTTCTTGCAGAAAAGAACCGCTGCAAGACCCGTGGGGTTCCGCACGCCGGGTATCCCTGTGGCAAGACCACATGGGGCGGCGGATCGAAGACGCCTACGGCGAATCACCGCCGCCCCCCGCCTTCTAGAATCGCCCATGTGGCCGAGCGTTGTGGCAAAAGGTTTGCTCAGGTATCGGGCCATGTGTTCCCCCAACCGTTGTGGAAATCCTGAGGGGAACATTTGGGGGAGGATGGCCGGGAAGATCAAGAGGAGGCGGAGGAGGAGGTGGAGGAGGAGAAGGAGGAGGAGGGGGCATCTTGGGAGCCTCAGGGGACACTCTTGGAGCCTCCTGGGAGCTTCCTGGGAGCCTCTTGGACCTTTGGGGGCTTCTCGGGGGCATCTTTGGCCGTCTTGGTGGGCTCTTGGCCCGTCTGACGCCGTCGGAAGCCGTCTTGGTGGCCTCTCTGGGCCGACTTGGGGCTTTCTTGGGGTGCTCCGGGGCCGTCTTGGAGGCCATCTTGAGCGTCTTGGAGGCCTCTTGGGCCGTCTTGGGGGCCTCTTGGGCCGTTCTGGGGTCATCTTGGCGGCATCTTGGGCGATCTTTGGGCGATCTTTGGGGGCTCTTGGGCCGTCTCGGGCCGTCGGAATGCCGAGAAGAAGCGAATGTCCAAATCCTTCAGAAACCTAAGGACAATTAACAATCTTGGCCTTTTCGGGCCTTCCTGGAGGCCCTCTTGGAGGCCTCTTGGGCCGTCTTGGGCCATCTTCGTGCCATCTTCGGCCGTCTTGGTGGGCCCCTGGCCCGTCCGACGACGTCGGCAGCCGTTTGGGGGGCCTCTCTGAGCCGATTTGGGGCCCTCTTGGAATGCTCCAGGGCCGTCTCGGAGGCCATCTTGGGCGTCTTAAGAGCCTCCTGGGCCGTCTTGGGGCCCTCTTGGGGCCGTCTTGGGGGCCTCTTGGGCCGTTCTGGGGCCATCTTGGAGGCATCTCGGGCGATCTTTGGGCGATCTTTGGGGGCTCTTGGGCCGTCTCGGGCCGTCGGAAGGCCGAAAAGAAGCAAATGTCAAAACCCTTCAAAAACCACCGGAAAATCAATGTTTTTGGCCTCTTCTGGCCTTCCTGGAGGCCCTCTTGGAGGCCTCTTGGGCCGTCTTGGGTCAGCTTCGAGCCAACTCCGGCCATCTTGGTGGGCTCCTGGCCCGTCTGACGCCGTCGCCAGCCGTTTTGGGAGCCTCTCTGGGCCGACTTGGGGCTTTCTTGGGGTGCTCCGGGGCCGTCTTGGAGGCCATCTTGAGCGTCTTGGAGGCCTCCTGGGCCGTCTTGGGGGCCTCTTGGGCCGTTCTGGGGCCATCTTGGAGGCATCTTGGGCGATCTTGGAGCGATCTTGGGGGCCTCTTGGGCCGTCTTGAGCCTCCTCCTCCTCCTCCTCCTCCTCCTCCTCCTCCTCCTCCTCCTCCTCCTCCTCCTCCTCCTCTCTCCTCATCCCTGGGGGGTCGGGCCCTTACGCCTCAAGAACCCTGGAGAACCGCAGACCTTCTATTTCGCAGAGCTGCATGAGCCCTGGGGCACTTCACTGCGTGCCGAAGGACGGTGGCAGACAGCAGGGGAACAAAGAATGACGTAAACACAAACTCGGAGGTCCGCGCGGATTTCTCGGATCGGCGCTGGAACCCCCCCCTGGCGCGCGGAGCGCGCCAGGGGCGGCGCCGGAGGCGCCGCCAGGGGGGTCCAGCCCCGATCCGAGAAATCCGCGCGGACCTTCGAGGTTTTTATGCTTCTGTCACTTTTTGTACCCCTATATACAGGAGATAAGGAAAAACGACGCGAGAAGTTTGCAGACAGCGTCGCATCCCTTCCGCCTGAAGATCTTACTGCGACCGTCCTCTGCTGTCGCACCGCAGCGGCTGGCAGACGCAGAGCTGACAGAGGTCCTGGAGAGGGCCCTCTCCCACCCCCTCCTCTCTGAGGAAATCAAAACAAACCGATAGCGCTATTCCCAGACCTCTCCAGAGGTGCGTCCTGACCAGGATTTTGAGGCGAATCCAGCGGTGGCGACGATGACCTCCCAGGAGGCCCAAAAACTGGAAACCGAGGGAAGGGTAGCAGTATGGGTAGGGACCTTCTCCTCCGCGTCCTCCTCTTCCTCCTCCTCCTCACCCTCCTCCTCTTCCCCCTCATTCTCCTCCCTTTCCCAGTCCTCCCCCCTCCACCATCCCTTGTCCTTGTAGATAACTCCCCACTGTCGCGCCTCCAGACGTGTCGGTAGTGCGGGCTTGACCTTTCACTTCAGCTGAGATTTTTTGTCAGCTGATCCTGAAACTTGAAATTCTTGACGCTTTGCTGATCCCCACCAGCCCCTCTAACAACGATACCCAGGCGAGTTGCATTGATCAGAGAAGTGGGAGCACGCAGTAGAAAACAGAGGGGGGGTTAGCCGTCAAACCGAAGGTCAGGATCTGTCTGAGCGGGTAACCACAAATGCCTTCGCAGATCTTTCGATGTGTGAGCCTCTTGGCAGCTTACTTGGGCCATGTTGGGGTCCTGTTCGGGCCACTATTGGTGGACATCGATCGAAGAAGAGGGAGGCTTTGTTAGGGTGCCCCTTTTGAGCCCCAAGAGTCGCGCCTCTAGGGGTGGTCTTGGGCGATGTTGGAGCGTCTCGGACCCCTCCTGGGCCTGTCTTGGGGCTCCTAGTAGGCACCATGGAGCTATCTTGAGGCCTCGGAAGGCCAATTGAACCGAAACGGCGAACATGTCAAAATCATTGCAGTTTCATTCGAATTTGGAAGGATGTTGGTCTTTTTTAAGCATCCTCGGGAGGCTCCATGACCATACGGGGCCGTCTTGGGGGTGCCTTGGGGCATCTTGGAGGCATGGTAGAGGCCATCTTGGGGTATCTTGAGCCATCTTGGAGGCCATCTTGGGCTCTCTGACTCCATCTTGGGGCCATTTTGGCTTCAAAGCCTCCAAAAGATGCCCCCGAGATGCCGGAAGCTGAACCAACATAATGTTTTTGTTCCATCAGGCTCTAAGCAGATGGGAGGCTCTCAATTCGAAGTGCCCCGTGGAGCCCCAGTGATCCTCTCGGGGCGCTCGTGGGCGCTCCTGGGGCCGTCTTCCTCCTCTCCACCGCTCCCCACCAATGCTGACACCGGTCAGGCGTTCCTCCCGTTGGTGCGGGGCTTTCTTCGGGGATCACAGGGAGCAGCTCCAGAGGCGGACATCACACGGAGAAGGACGAGGAGGAGGAGGAGGAGGAGGTGGAGGTGGAGGCGGAGGCAGAGGCGGAGGCGGAGGAGGAGGAGGAGGAGGAGAAGGAGGAGGAGGAGGAGAGGGAGGAGGGGAGGAGGAGGAGGAGGAGGAGGAGGAAGAGGCGGAGGAGGTGGAGGAGGTACAGGAGCAGCCTGCAAAGGAGACGTGGGGCAAGCGGGGCCGGGATGCGCGAGGAGACCGTGCACCCTGGCTCGTGCGTCGTCTTCCCCATGGGCTACATCCATGAGACCTACGTAGCTGAGGGGAAGGCTGGAGCCGATGGATGCAGTGTTGCAAGCACTTTCCAGTTTCAGGATGGATGGGGTCTCCGATGCCCGAAGGGATGCGTTCGTGATGGTGGTCGTTTTTCCCTACCTAGGCTCTGCCTAGAAGGGTTCTTACTCTCTTTGCTTAAGGGGCCGAGCAGTGCTAACCGCCCCGGGCGGTTCCCCCAGTCCCCGCCCCGCGGTTCCCCCAGTTGCGCCCCCTGGGTTCACCCAGCTTAGCTTAGCTTCAGCTTAGCTTTAGCTTAGCTTTAGCTTAGTTTTAGCTTAGCTTTAGCTTAGCTTTAGCTTAGCTTCAGCTTAGCTTTAACTTAGCTTTAGCTTAGCTTCAGCTTAGCTTCAGCTTAGCTTCAGCTTAGCTCTAGCTTAGCTTCAGCTTAGCTTCAGCTTAGCTTCAGCTTAGCTCTAGCTTAGCTTTAGCTTAGCTCTAGCTTAGCTTCAGCTTAGCTCTAGCTTAGCTTCAGCTTAGCTTTAGCTTAGCTCTAGCTTAGCTTTAGCTCAGCTTTAGCTCAGCTTTAGCTTAGCTTTAGCTTAGCTTTAGCTTAGCTGTAGCTTAGCTTCAGCCTAGCTTTAGCTTAGCTTTAGCTTAGCTCTAGCTTAGCGTCAGCTTAGCTTCAGCTTAGCTTTAGCTTAGCTCTAGCTTAGCTTCAGCTTAGCTTCAGCTTAGCTCTAGCTTAGCTTTAGCTTAGCTCTAGCTTAGCTTCAGCTTAGCTCCAGCTTAGCTTCAGCTTAGCTTTAGCTTAACTCTAGCTTAGTTTTAGCTCAGCTTTAGCTTAGCTTTAGCTTAGCTTTATCTTAGCTTTAGCTTAGCTTTAGCTTAGCTTTAGCTTAGCTTTAACTTAGCTTTAGCTTAGCTTTAGCTTAGCTTTAGCTTAGCTGTAGCTTAGCTTCAGCCTAGCTTTAGCTTAGCTTTAGCTTAGCTTTTCTGTTACTACTAATGCTGCTTTCCTAGGGGCTCCAACTCCTAGGTAGGGTCGCACTGGGATAATTTTATTCGTTGTGTTGCCGATCGGCGCGGGCCCTCGCACCCCCCCGCCTCCCCCTCCCATGGAGTAGATCTTGGCAGTTTGTGGCGCCTGTCTCGAGCAGGTGGGGTCCCTCTCCCATCGGCCGCACTGCTGCAAACAGTCGCATTAAGCAGAGGTTCAGAGCCAGACCCCCCCCTCCCCCCCCCTTACGCCCAATGTCGAAACGCCGAACAAAAAAACGCTCACATGGAGAATGGCATTCGGTTCGTCCTGCTGTTAGTCGTTCGCGCAGCGAGGGCATGCGTATCGATGGATGCAGTGTTGCAGGCACTCTCCAGTTCCAGGATGGATGGGGTCTCCGATGCCCGAAGGGATGAGCATGTGATGGAGAGTGACATTCGGTTCGTCCTGCTGTTAGTCGTTCGCGCAGCGAGGGCATGCGTATCGATGGATGCAGTGTTGCAAGCACTCTCCAGTTCCAGGATGGATGGGGTCTCCGATGCCCGAAGGGATGAGCTCGTGATGGAGAGTGGCATCCGGTTGGTCCTGTGTCAGTCGTTCGCGCAGCGAGGGCATGCGCATTGCTGAAGCGTCTCGGAGCCCACCAATGGCTTGCCGACTTTTACGTGCAAACATATGCACACCCGTTTGGCACGCGACGAGGCATGCACATTGATCTGAACATCATCTGCACGTAATCACGGCGGTATTTGTTTAGGGGAGTTGCTCTTGACGTATAAGCTAAGAGGACAGGGACAGCTTTGGGAGGACCCTCAGCCAATCTATCAGTGGAAGAACTTTCTACAAAGATGGGGGCTGTCGCACTACACGCGAGAGGAACCGTGCCTGAAAAGGACCCACGCAATGCGACAGAAAGCGGCAGCCAGAGACTGGGCGGCAGCATTCATGCGATGCATACGTGGATGCGTGATTTGTACGCGTGTGCGGAGCAAAAAGGAGCAGGGCTACTGACCGCGTCGAGTATGTCTCGGGTGACGTGCATGGTTTGTGAGGTGCACGGCGTGCAGATGTTTGGGATGAGTGTCCGCGCTCTCGTGTACCGAAAACTCGGCCCCAGGGGGGGGCCCAGTGGACGCAGCAGGGCCCCCTCGCCTCGCGGAGCCTCCCCCGGGGGGGCTGCCCCAGGCTGCTCCCGGAGGCTCCCGGAGCTTCGGAGAAGCTCGCAGAGGGACCCGAACGGGTCCCACGAAGCTCTCGGGGCTTCCCAGGAGGCTTCCCGAGCTCCACGGAAGTTCCAGGAGGACCTCCTGACGATTCCGAGATGGCTCTGAAGTGGCCTCGCAGCCTCGCAAGAGATGATTTTAAAACCATGTGCTTCTCAATAGTTTTCGCTCTCTCGCCTTTTCGCAGCAGATTGGATTTTCGAAGCCTCCAGATGGCTTTCACATCGTCCACGATGGCTCCAAGAGATTCCCAGTACAGGCCCAAGGTGGCTCAGGAGAGGCCCCCGACGAGAGGGGCCCCAGGAGGTCCCCAAGAGGGCCCGAGAGGGCCCCGAGCGAGCTCCAGGAGGGCCCCATGAGGCCCCCTGGAGCCTTCCCAGAGGCCCCCTGAACGCTCTCGGCGCCAATCCTGTTGAAAGAAAAATGTTTGCACCATGTCGGGTGGAGCTGCGAATCGGATGGCATTGCTGCTCCCCCGCGCCCCCGACTTTAATATTGATAGTTGTGACATCTCCCGGGGCCCTTCGAAAAAATAAGATGCATCCCATTTCAGCGTGTGCGTCCATTCTCAATGTTAAGGTCGGGGGCGGGGGGGTCGTATCATCAGTTGTCGGGCCGCCCAGGTGGTACAAACTTGTTTCTTTCAACCGTATGGCCCCAAGAGGCCTCAGGAGGCTCCCAAGAGGCCCCCCAAAGGCCCCCAAGAGGCCCCCAGGAGACTCCTCCGTAACCATATTGGCTCCAGCGATTTGGGCTCGCGCACAGGGCGTCAAACAAATTCAGAACCAACATTTTAGCACGATTCGTATTCTTCATCTCGCAGCGTGAAGTTGTTTGATTGTTCCCATGGGTTCCCTACTAATGGCAAGCAAGACGATCGATATCCGATTGCGTCATATGGCATGGGCAATTGCCGAAGTTGTTGTATGACCATGGCTGTCGCTGGGATCCTGACTTTCACAGTGACATCATACACCGCAGAGACAGAAAGTATCTATATGTCTCACTGTGTGTTCAGCCCATGCATTTGGTTCGGTCATTATTCTGCGAAGCTCAGTGCTATGCTTGGGACGTGCATACTCGTCCTCGTAAGTATCGCCTATGATACCCTCTGGATACTCTGCCAAGATATAAGCACAATCATGTGTCTGTTCTTGAAGGTGGCTACCATGGTAGGGATGAACATGATTGTGAAAGTTACATGCGTAAGCGTCTTCACGACCAATATGTATCCCGAGAAAAAGCCAGCTCGGCGCCTCCATGGAATGCACGCGGATGGCAACAGCACCTTGTTGGTAGGTGAGCCAGAGTACATAACAGTGTTGGGTGGTACAGATGCACAGATAGTCAAGTTCCAGCTTTCCTTTTTAAAAACATGTTTTGGAGGAGCTATTCTCTGTGAACCTTACAACACTCGCCTGGCCACTCATCAGCAATCAGTGCTGCCGATGGGCCATCCTCTTACCATGCAGTTGGATTGTGGTGCCTTTCCAGGGTGCATCCATGCCAATACTTACCATGGAAGCCAATGATGGGACTTCGAGCGTTGATCTTGAGCAACTGAGTCATCTGCATCAGTTCATCTTCCCACAACCGTTCATCATACACACAAGGTGGGCAGTCAAGGGCGACAGTTTAGGGACTTGGCCGTCTTTCTACTACCGCGTGACATTCCAATCCGATTTTGGGTAAGGCTCACTTGCAAGAATTCCCGAACTGAAGGTAGCGATGGCAGCGTGTTCCCAGCAACTCTTGTGAGGTCATGTTTCGTGTCGCATGCGGTTTGATGTGATTTTCCGTGCAGTGGTCCATACGTCTAGCATGGATGATGAAACGGTAGAGTATTTCTTGTTAGCAGGGGGGAGTGCGGCCAAAGCCGCACGGCTATCTGGCGGCTCCCATGTGAATAATCATTTGGAGATTCGCAGCATTGGGAGTCAGCCTAATTCTCGTGTGGCAGCACCTTAGTGGGAAGTACAGTTGCGGTCCCGGCGTCTTGTGTGGATGCAGCGGGGTGTCTCTCCTTACTCGGTGGCATTGTTGTGGTCCTTGAGCACGAGCGGTTCGCTTGGGTGTTCTTCTTGCTCTTCGAGGTGTCTTTCCCCGTGTGGTTTCTGACTTTGTGATTCGAGTCGCCTCGTGGCGTGCGGCGTCGACTCATCACTGCTCACGCGCGGGGTCTGGTTGGCACTTGCTCTGCATTGGTGCCTGGGCTGCGGCCTTACGCTGTCGTGCTCACGCTTGCACAGCTCGACAATTTCAAACGAAGCACCCTCGATCTCTGTGGAGAAGCTCGACTGAATATCCCTAGCGCGACTCCAATAGAAAGCGATTTAGGGGTTTTCTGGCAGCGCCGTCGTCGCTTCACTTTCGGCAAAGGGGACTAACGGGTCGGGCGGCCGCGCCGTCGTCAGAATTCCCAACCCCTTCTCTTCGCTGCAATATCCCCGCAGTTCCCCAGGTGGCGGTCGTCAGTTTTTTGTGACCCTCTCTTAGTGGTGAGGGAGGTGCTCCCGTCAGTTTTGCGACCCCACCTTCATTTATTAATGTCTCGCCTACGCCACTGATCTGGGATGCTCCTGGACGCTCCGTGCGAATTCGTCCTGCTTCAACACTTCGTTGGCCTGACCTCGAGGAGGCGAGGAGGGAGGACGAGGAGGGAGGACCAGGTGCTGGTGGACAGGGGCGGGGCGGCGGACGTCGGCCATCTCTTTTTGGCCGCACTCGGCGCCCGCGCTGCAGGCTTTCTCGGCCGCGGGGCTAGCTTTCAGTCGGGCCTGTCCCTCTACAGGGGGACGATTCAAAAATAGGAAAAAATAGTCTGGGGACGATGTTTTGACTATGTTTGGCCATTTTTGCAGTATTTGGAGGGTATGTTTAATTGTTCTGCCAAAATCCCCCTGTAGGGGGACAGCCCCGACCTAATGCCAGCCGAATACCAATCGTGCCAGATCCCAGCGAAGTCTGGTCGACCCCAGGCGCGCGGCCTGTCGAGGTGGGTGGAGTCCCTTCGGCGCTGCGACTCTTGTTTCTCTTCGCTCCCAGGCACTGCAGGTGTGGGCCTCGGTATTGATTTGAGCATCTGCGCTCGTCTGCGCCGTGTCCGTCCTGGGCCCAGTTTGCCTTGCCTTCGGGCTTATTTGTATTATAATCCTCTGGAAACTATGGGTATTCCGATAGATTCCTATGGGGGGCGTACGGATTCCTATCAGGATTCCTACGGATTCCTGTGGGGTGTCCTACGGATTCCTATGAGGATTCCTATGGGTTCCTATGGGAATTCCTATGGACTCCTATGGGGATTTCTATGGATCCGTCTGGGGCTTGTACGGGTTGATATGGGGATTCTTATCGGGATTCCTATGTATTCCAATGGATTCGTATGGGGATGCTTACGGATTCCTATGGGATCCTACGGACTTCGATGAGGATTCCTACGGATTCTTATGGGGATTCCCATGGGTTCTTATGGATTCCGATGGGTATTCCTATGGATTGCTTGTGGTTGGCTCTTGGCTTCGTGGGGCTTATTGGGCGTATTTGCAAGCTGGCTGGCTGGTTGGGTTGGTGGGCCGGTTGGCCGGCTGGCCAATTGGTTAGTTGGCCGAATGGTCCCGGGATGTCTGGGCTGCCGGTTGACTGCTTGGTTGGTTGGCTGGTTGGCCGGCTGGTCGGCTGGCCAGTTGGCTGGTCTGTTGGTTGGTTGATTATCTGGCCAGCTGGCTGACAGGTGGGCTGGCTGGCTTGCTGGTGGGTTGGCAGGTCGACTGGCCAGTTGACTGGGAGGAGGAGGCGGAGGAGGAGGAGGAGGAAGAGGAGGAGGAGGAGGAGGAGGAGGAGAATAAGGAGGAAAGGGTGGACGAGGAGGAGGAGGAGGAGGAGGAGGAGGAGGAGGAGGGTGAGGAGGAGGGGGATAGTGAGCCTCCTCCTACCTCCGACCGCTTCATACCTCGTCCTACCCAGGTAAGAGGAGGCATGAGGAGGTATGAAGAGGTAGGAAAACGTAGGAGGTGGGGGAGGCAGGACGAGGTACGACGAGGAAGAGGGAGGAGGATAAAGGAGAAGGTAGGATGATATAGGAGGAGGCAGGTGGAAGTACGAGGGGTAGGAGGACGTAAGAGGAAGTTCGAGGAGGTTGGAAAAGGTACGAGGAGGTGAGAGGAGGTAGGCACGCGTAGGAGGAGGCGGAGGAGAAAGGGGAGGAAGGAGACTGGAAGAGAGGAGATGTGAAGGAGTGTGAACTAAGAGGAGTAAGATGTGATGGTAGGAGGTAAGAGGCAGGACTAGTTAGGGGGAGTTAAGAGGAATCAGGACGAGGTAGGTCGAGGAGAGAGGATAGAGGAGGAGGTAGGTTGAGGTAGGAGGAGGTCGGAGGAAGCAGGAAGGTAGGAGAAGTAGGAGGTCGGCGGAGGCAGGAAGAGGTTAGAGGAGGCAGGAAGAGGTAGGACGAGGTAGAACGAGGAAGGAGGAGAGAGGTGGTGGTATGACGACGTAGGAGGCGGCGTGGCTGCTTTTGCTGCTGCTGCTGCTGCTTGTGATGCCGATATTGCTACAGGTGTTGTTGTTTTTGCTGCGCCGTTGTTGCCTCTGCCGCGGCTGCTGGCGTTGTCCCTGCTCTGGCTTTTGCTCCAGCTGCTGCCGTCGCTGCCGGAAGAAGAGGAGGAGGTCTT